TAATTGTCACAGGAATAAGGAGAAACTTCAGCGTCTGTTAGACTGATTTTGATCTGAGATGTCACTTTGCATTCCAAGTATGTTTCACCTACTTTAGTACTTTAAAACTTCATTTCCTTCACCTGAAACCTAAGACTGAAATGTTTGATAATATTTAGACAACAAAGTGTACATTAGCGCTCCATAAAACAGTCGATCACACCGAGAAAACAGGAGGAGCCAACGGTTCTTCTAAATAACTGTTCTTGTACGAATTTTTTCCTGGGAAAAGGATTTTGAGCTAAATTGCTGACAATCTCACAACTAAATGTGGCACCCTTCCTTCTTTAAAATAATTTTGTTCCTGGAAAACGTTTTTAAGGTCAAAACAAGCTTATAAAATGTTTTTTGTGGTTAAAACAGCGGCTGATATTTTTTAGTTAGGAAATGTCTATTTTCCTGGCAAAAATTCTTAGAAAGTATTCCTTGCCTGGAAAGTTTTTTCCTTGAATTTCTCGCTGGCGCTGGCTAGGCATAAGAACAGATATATTTCTACCAGGAACCCGTCGGCTCCTCCTAAGAAAATCAGAGAAAAGCGATATACGTTAAATTTTGTTAGCTAAACTAGTGTAACCATGGTCCGTTTCGGTCGTGAATTGTCCCTTCGACAATCGCCGTTCTCCTTGATAGAACGTTTTTTTTAAATAAACCGTCGGTGTATATGCCGTGACGCGCTTAAAAAAAGAGAAAGAAATTATAAGTGGYTTATTGCCTTAGGTAAAAATTGGCTAGATTAAGTCTTCCTGATTTCTATCATAGTTAGTAGAGGGAGACTATGTTTCTATGCAATGTGAATAGTCGACTCTAGATATTTTGGTTCAGTGACCATGCACAAAAGAATTGCAGAAGAGGCTCAGGGGACTGAAATAAAAGAATAGGGACTGTGCAATAATTACCAGGAGGGGGGGCGTAAAACCAGAGGGAGGAGGCATTACATAAAATTACATAAAATTGATGGCAAGATAGGGGGCTCAAAGTAAAATTACGTATTTAAMAGAGAGGGGGTCTTAAGTTTCATTCAAAATTTTCATAATTTTCGATGTCTCTCAAAATGCTGGAAATCGCATTTCCAAGAGTTATTTCTTTCAAATTTTGAAAATTTTTGGCGTTCGTTAGACCCCCAGATCCAAAATATGTGTCGCGGTCCCTGACATGTGCATACGTCCACGCTACGCGCCTGACTAATGGAAATCTAAATTTAAAGATTCGTTGATGTGGGATTGAAATTGACCAAATAGGCCATGAATTTTTTTCAACTATTGATATTTTCAATTTTGTCACATAAATTGAGGATATAGTTTTCACA